AGCGACTTATAGCAGGACTACGGTGGGCATTCTGACAAGGGGGGGGGGGGGGACTGATTTGGTGTCACTGACATCCCCAGTGACACCAATACAGTGATCAGTGCTAATAAAAATCACTAACATTGTACCATCTGGGCAGAAGGGAAAGGGGCGAACAAAGGGTTAACCGTGTGCGGTTTCACAGTATGCTGTGTGTGTGCTTTCCACTGCAAGCACACTGCTTTGTATGGCTTTGTTATGCAGAGCCATACAAAGCAGTATGCAGGAGCTGACAGGGTAGAGAACTGTAATATTTACATATGCAGTTCTCTCCTCCGTCGGTAATACTCAGCGATTACTGGGTGCCGGCGAGTAATCACCGTTCGGGACCCAGTGATTGACAGGCGAGACAGCGAATGTCAGCGCGGGTAGGGCTTGCACACGCCCCCTAGCCGGAACTGCAAAATTACGTATATATACACACGTGATTTTGCGCACCCCAGCCGCCCTGTAGCAGTATTTCTGCTATAGGGCAGAGGGGAAGTGGTTAATGATAGCTGTCACAGTTGTGTTGTCAACAGAACTATCAAGCCATCAAATGGCTGTTGTTGTATCTGATCACATATGCAGCACTATGGCAACTATAAATCAAACATAGGTCAGATTCTAATAAAAATTGTGAGCGCTAAAAGCAAAGAAGCAGCCACAGCATCAAAAAGTATACCAAAAGATGCGGCGCTAAATTCAAATTATTAATAATTATATACCATATCACAAAGTGTCTAATGACCAGGGTGCCAATATAGTCAATGCAAATATATGGTGAGCATAAATCAAGTGACTTGTGTGATCACATGTATTCCGTCACTAACAGAGTGACATGCAGTGCAAAATAGTAGTCTTAGTGAGAGCAGTCTTAGTGAAAACGTAGGAGATGAAAATCCCTCTCCTCGGTCTCTCCAATAGCGTGATACCGTTTTAATGAATGAATTTATTAAATGGAGTGTGACATGAGGAAAAATAACACTGACCATGAGGTGGATATGAAGATGGCGCCGGGGAAGGAGCTACAGCGTCGTGACGTCACACCACCGGCACCACGGAGGTCCCGGCGGCATCTTCATATCCACCTCATGGTCAGTGTTATTTTTCCTCATGTCACACTGCATTTAATAAATTAATTCCCTAAAACGGTATCACGCTATTGGCCTCCTTTTCGTTTGGCCCTCGGTGAGCCATCCATTACCCATAGAGCCAGCTAAAGGAGAGACCGAGGATCACCTAGCAGTACTAAGCGGGGTGAGGAATACCTGGCATGACCAGATCCTTAGGAGTCATCAGCAGATCCAGTAGAGAAATTTGTCTCTAAAGGCGCAGTTACACTGTGCATCTGGTGAGTGCACAGCCTTCACTTTTTTCACTATCACGGCTTGGAGGAAGCACTCTGAAGGAGAGGGATTTTCATCTCCTACGTTTTCACTAAGACTGCTCTCACGAAGACTACTATTTTGCACTGCATGTCACTCTGTTAGTGACGGAATACATGTGATCACACAAGTCACTTGATTTATGCTCACCATATATTTGCATTGACTATTTTGGCACCTTGGTCATTAGACACTTTGTGATATGGTATATAATTATAAATCAAACATAGGTCAAGATGGCAGCTTTCTTGGTTGTACAGAATAGGAGGGTTTAGTTCCACTTTTATCATGACATCCTTACAATCGTGTACATGTACTCCGACTATGGACATTAAAAACTACTTAAATATAAACAAGCTTTAAATGAGCTTTAAAATAGGCCTGATGTCTCTAGCTGCTTTTTAGGCTACAAGCACACTAACCTTCTGCATTTAGATAATTTATTGGTAAGAACAAGTACATTTTATACTTCCCACATCAAGTTCTCATGCACTTAAAAAGAGTAACTCAGCTTTTGGTGAGAAGTAAACATTCCCCTCTGGACGATCATGTACATTGCAGGGATTTTACCAAACTTAGTTGCAGATTCCTACCGTTTGTTATTCTGACGGAATAGCTGTTTGTTTGTCTGTGTCGATGTGCGGAGGGAATCTGTAATTTGTATGGGAGTGGTTTTAAAATCAATCAGTTGTTGCACCTTCAGGGCTCAGGGAAATTGGCAGGGTCTGCATCCCTTTAGATGTGATTTTACTTTGGGAGTATCTCACCAAATAGGAAATTTTTGTTGCAGGGAATGCCAAAAATCTGACTTGCATCTTTGTGCAGACTTCTGGGAAAATCAGTAATCCAATCACTGAAAAGCAGGAAATGACATTTTCAGGGGGCGTTCTGTACGCCATCTGTGTACAGAATGCCTCTTGGAAGCCATGTTGTATTTTACAACACTGTGCATTTAAAAGGAAATGTCATTTTTAATAATATTCAATTACAATATGACCTGAGTCATAACTGTACATGCTATTTTTTTTTCAATTTGAAACATTTTTTCTCTCACGAAAATTGAATTTACCCTTTAAATGTGGATTTACACACCTTAAAGTGATTGTTAATCCTCACCTTGTAAAACAACCCCCATTCAGTTTAAAACAGAAATGAAAGGCAAAACATTTGAGTATACATAAAAAAAAACTACAAACACTTTTTTTACAAAATGATTACATTCTCTCTGTTGCATAAGAGCTGGGAGAGGAGATACAGCATCACACTGATCTTCCCAGTAAATGGCTGTGTGGTAAGGGGTGTGTGTGTCAGGACAGGCCTGATCATTGGAGGAGAGCAGGTTGAGTTCCCAGCATAGCTACAGAACTGACCATGCTGTGCTCTCATGCGTAGTGTGGTCAGTTCTTAACAGGAATGCAAAGGGACTGGCAGGAACACCAGAGATTTCACACAAAGGAAGCAATACAAAGAACAGGATACTTTCTCATACTATTACATGCTACAGCAGGTACATACCAGGAATATGAAATGTTGGATTTACATACTCTTTAAGATAAATTTATGATTATCTAATCTGCATATTATATTTCTTTCTCCAAACGGAGCTAAAATGAACGACCGTAATGCAGATAAACACACAGGTGTGATTTATACAATTTAAAATTAATACACGCATTTCGCATTAGGAAATGTTATTGCCACTCAGAATGAGACAGAACTGTGAAGTTATTTATTCTCAAAGATCACAACAAAGACTCTGAAGTTTGGGTTCCAGTGTGTTTTAATAGATTAGAAATGCCTTCTGGGTGTATACATTAGAGGGTTGGCAGCTTGCCAGGATCTAAAAAATATTTTTCAATAAATGTTGCGCTCCTAATTATTATCACTTATTACCAATATAGTGATTGAACAAATAGCAAAATATGTGATTTAGAGCAAATTCATAACAAACAAATATAAATGACAAATAAATATTAAAACAATAAAAAAAAAAAAAAAAAAAACTGCAGATTACTGTGGGCGCCGCACACATAGTATACTCGCCGTCCATGGGTGTGTAGTGACTTCGTAGTCCCTCCCCTACGCGGTACGCCGCAGGTCACGCGGCTTCACCAGGGGGATAATCTGCAGTTTGTTTTTAAACAAAGCGGTTTCTTATACTTAATGATAAGGCACTATGTCTTTATTTTTTTTCTACTGAAGAACATCTAAGGAGGAGATAAGGAGCAAGAGAAGGAGTGAAAGATCCCTGCGGGGATAGTGGCAAGGAGGATAAGAGCATTGGGAAGCAATTAAGGGATACCCACCACTTCACATGGTGCAACAGAATATCTAAAGTTCCATAGGTGAACAAAAAGTGAAGTAAGCCTGTTAACAGGCTGAAAAGGAGATGAACGCATAACCTAAATCACAATAAGGAGTCACTGGGAATCACAATCACTTATTTCTGATCACTTTTATTGGGATTTATCACGCTTATAAAAATAGAGACTTTTTCATATTTTTTATTCACTTTCTTTTTGGATCAAATTATATTTTGGGACTATCACTAATAAGTTATCAGAGACTTTGTTTTTTAATTATTTTTTATTGTTTATGTTTTAATATTTAATTATCATTTATATTTGTTATGAATTTGCTCTAAATCACATATTTTGATATTTGTTCAATCACTATATTGGTAATAAGTGATAATAATTAGGAGTGCGACATTTATTGAAAAATATTTTTTATTATGCACACATGATATGAGGATGTGTTTTACGTCAGCGATCCTTATTTATTTATTTTTATTCATTTATTTCAGGTACTTATACAGCGCTGTCAATTTACACAGTGCTTTACATATATATTGTACATTCACATCAGTCCCTAACCCTCAAGGGGCGTACAATCTAACCTTGTCAACAAGGTTTACAGATAGATGAACGAGGGTTTAAATCACTCATCTGCCAGAGTCCTTTTTGCCATTTTTGCATACATGTTAAAGTGCGCATTTTATGCCTGGAGATTAATTAACCAACTTCCCCAACAACATAGAATAAAATGGTGGTAGTTGCAAATTTTTATGTCACATGATATTAACACACTTTTAACAAATTCACATTTTTGTACAAAATAACAAGCTAATTTTAATGTACACAAACACAATATATCACCCAATTTCTTTTTTGTAAAATATAAAAGAAGAGGTTGCAACAAGTAAATAGATACCCAACTTGTCGAGCGTTAAAACTGCACATGCCCATGAACCGGCGACAAACTTGGGTACCCAAACATTTTCCATAGACAGTGCTTTAGAAACCTTCACAGGTTATCAGTTTAGCGTTAACCATGAATGATGGCCCTGGAAATATTGCTCTCTCTCCGGCGTTTAAGGCTTTATGTAAAACATGTAGGGCAATCAACATTGTTGCACATGCCACTTACATTTTCACCGGCATCTGGAAATCCAGAGTGTTGGATGAAAATATCCCTGTTACGTTGACTAATTCTACAGCACTAGTGAAATGTGAAAATGTCTGCATTTACCTTTCGACCCAATACATGATGAAGTGTATATCCAAGTGAAAAGAGTCAAATAATCCTTATTACCTTGTCTAAGAAAGTGGGGCGGTCCATGGAAGACTCTTTGGAGATTGGTGGTGGGCGGCAGCTCAAGGGCTTGGCGACAACTGCATTGTAGTCCGCCATTCCCAATCCACGCTTGTCCATTTCCACCTTCTTTTCCAGTAGAGCACCTACAAAGTACACAACAGACACTGAGAAACATTCTCAAACAGGGATGATAATCCACTGATTACAGAAAGCTACATGATTATTTATAATCCAAAACAATGAACAGGGGAGGCGTTCAACTGCAATTTCCATGATACATTAGATCACAAAGCATCCAAAATGGGAAATTCTCACCTTCCTTATGGCTGTTGTACAAACATGAAGATTTTTAACTGAAGTCTGTGGAAAACAAAAAATACTCTTGCAGCGGGGCTCCCCTTGAACTGCAACGGTTAGATGCTCATGAATGCCTACAGTACCAGTAAAAAGGACTTTTACTTACCTTGTCCCTCACTTCCGCAGGCTCCCTCTTTGCTATAAAGACTGGCTGCCACAGCAGCGAGGAGACATTCCAGCAAATGAAGACTCTCTGGCATCATCAAGTACAATGCAGGGTGAACAGCCCTGCAATGTATTTGACTCTGCAAAGTAACCACCCACAAGCCAGAGCTTCAGAAAGGAGAAAGGAGAAAGGTAGAATGCCAATTGCCAGGGGAGTGAGGGAGAATGCAAGTAAATGGACTGGTACCCTTGGCATACACAAGAATTTAAGTGTTACTAAACCCACAACAGTAAAATCAGTCTGTATATGCAGTAAAGCATGCTTGTTATACTCACTGTGGAACCCAAGGGGTTAATCCCCTGCATTGTGCAAAAAATGCTGTTTGATCCTGACTTCTCTGATCCTCCCCTTCTTCCAGTGTCCCCCTCTTATCTCCTGATAAAACATATTGTGTGGAGTCACTCTGCACATGCTCAGTTTGGTGAGTATTGCTAGAGGTTTTTTTTTTTTTCTTTTTGGAGAGTGCATGTGATCAGCACAGGGCTAATCAGCACTGCCCAGACAGAGGTCATAGGTTCTGCATCTTCCTATAGCAAAAAGAAAACTCCTTCTACAACCTTTAACCAGTGCTCAGCTGGACATTGATAGAAGTCACAAGACTGCACTAACTGCTGATAATAAAAGGTATTTAGCAGTTTATATTTACTAAAATAATTGCATTTCCATGTTCTGTGGGAGACCAGATATAGTGGATGCAGGGTCCTGGGTTTAGTAACACTTTAACCTTCGCATTGCCAAGGGAGCCCCACTACAAAGGGGTTTTTTTTCTTTCCCCTGAGTTCAGCTTAAACCAAGGAGTGGCAATAAATGGAGCTCTAGAAAAGAAGCTGCCAATTTAGCCAGACAATTTTTATTCCAAGATCTTGATAAGGTAAATCCACACAGTATAGAACACTAACAGGGGCTCTAGACTGTATTTTGTGTTTATTAAACACTAGATTTTAGATCTCATCTAAATGTTAGGGTATGTTTTGCAACAAAACCTTGTGTATTCCGCTCAGCTTGCAAAGGTATACAGTGTTTCTTAAAGAAAAAAATGCAAAATTACATGACTATTTTTAATTCCCAATAGCTGCTGTAATATGTTAAAAGCCTACTGAGCGACATATCGGATTGGATGTCACTCCACTTCCTCAAACTAAATCTTTCCAAAACTGAGCTCCTAGTTTTCCCCCCAGCCCACGCCCCTCCCCCCTGACTTCTCCATCAAGACCACCACCATCAGTCCCTCCCCTCAAGCCAGAGTACTAGGTGTAATCCTAGACTGTACTTCCAGCCCCAGGTCCATTCGCTGACAAACTCATGTAGACTCACATCCGCAACATCTCCAAAATACGTACATTCCTAACGCCGGAAACCACTAAGCAACTCATTCACTCCCTTATATCACGCCTTGACTATTGTAACTCCCTCCTCATCGGCTTACCTCACTGCAGGCTATCCCCGCTTCAGTCTATATTGAATGCTGCGGCCAGACTCATCCACCTTACTAACCGCTCCGTATCCGCTTACCCTCTCTGCCAATCCTCCACTGGCTTCCGACATATAAAGCTGTTCATAATACTGCCCCAAACTACATCACCGATCTGGTATCCAAATACCACCCAAAACGTATTCTCCGCTCATCACAAGACCTCCTACTCTCTAGTTCCCTGGTCTCCTCCTCCCTGCCAGTCTCCAGGACTTCTCCAGGGCTTCCCCCATCCTCTGGAACTCCCTACTCCAATCCATCAGACTATCAGCTACTCTCCTCACCTTTAGGGGCACTCTGAAAACCTCTCTCTTCAGGGAAGCCTACCCCGCCCACAGCTAATTACTGAACTCCTTCACTCTTCCTACCACTCCATCCCCCACAGCTATTTCCTCCTGTACCACTATCCCCTCCTTCCTAGATTGTAAGCTCCAAGGAGCAGGGCCCTTGAACCCCTCGTGTATTGAATCGTATTGTTACTGTACTGTCTTGTGTACTATCTCCCATTATAATGTACAGCGCTGAGCAAACTGTTGGCGCTATGTAAATACTGAATAATAATAATAATAATAATAAAAGAATTAACACTTACTCATGGCCTGGTCCAGATTCATATTGTTACTTTTCAAGGCCTCTTCAGCAGGCTCTTTCTGTAATAATAAAAGAAAGTTTTGTTTTTTAATGTCTTTATTAAAGAGGAGCTACAGTTGCTTCTATAAAAATTAAATACTGTAGCTGCTGACTTTTAATAACAGACACTTATCTAACCAGGGATCCAGCACTTTCAACAACCAGGCCGGTTCTTCGATGATCTTTGGGCCCTCAGCGCCGCCATCTTGATTGTTGGAAGCTGGATGCAAATGCCAGCAGCTTCAAAGCTGGCTCCCCACTTCACATGGGCGAGTCACGCTGTGCTTTCTGAACGAGCACACAGTCTCCTGGGACGTGTGATGTGTCCTAGGAGATTGTGGGCTAGGGAGAATGGGGGGGGCCCCAACTTCTGCTCGGATTGTCTAGGCGATTTGGGCAGAAGTGGGATCCATTACCTGTCAAATATAGTAGGGATGCACCCATACCCTTTATTGACTGGCAAGTACATGTGCGATACTTTGCGGTGCATCTGCGTCTATACAAAGTGCATGGACACAAATTGCATCGCAAAGAATAGCATGCAATTTGAACAGGAATGCGATTCCTGTCCAAAGCACATGCATGTTCCCTAATGTTACTGTGTGAACTCAGGCTTGTCATAGCCTGATTTCACATATGAGCAGTGCGGGAAACCTCCCTGCACCAATCCCATAGTGCCACAGAAGGAAAAGCTTGGGTTTTGAAATCCCCTCTCAGTGCAGGGATGACAGTATGGGCTAGACGGCTTTTTACACGTCAGCACCGGTCACAGGTATCAGGAGCATTTTCACAAACATATATACACACTAGGGGTGCACCGAAATTTCGTTGTGGCCGAAATGTTTTGGCCGAAAACACCCCTATCAACCATTGGTTGATATGAAAATAGGTGCTGATACAGGTGCCGAAAATACCGCGGCCCCTCGCCACCGCTCAGTAGTTCTCACCTTTACCTGAGAAACCACCGACCGATCCCTGCGCAGGGCATAGACATAAGGAAAGATGGCCTCCACTCATCTCTATGCCCTTGGAGGACCGAAGCAACGTTACTTCCGGTTCCAGTGCCTTGTAAATAAGGTCATTTTTTTTTTTTTTTTTTTAAAAGCACTAGATCAATGTTTTTTTTGATCTAATGCTTTACATTGTAGAGGAGAGATGTGGGGTCTTATTGACCCCATATCACTCCATAAAGAGGACCTGTCACTAATCATTTCTAATCACAAGGGATGCATGCATTCCTTGTGATAGGAATAAAAGTGATTAAACATTTTTTTTTTTAAATGGACAGTGTGAAAAAAAAAAAGAAGTTTAAAGTGCCCATGTCCCCTCATGCTCCCATGTAGTGCTGAACACATATGTAGGCCACGCCTACATATGTAAAACTGTGTTCAAACCACAAATGTAACTTTACACTGCTAACCTGTAGAAATTTTTAAAGCATCACCCATGGAGATTTTTAGGTATCGCAGTTTCACGCCATTCCACGACCGTGCGCAATTTTAAAGAATGACGTATTGGGTATCTGTTTACTCGTCATAACAGCATCTTTCATATTTTACAAAAAATTGGAGTATATGTATTGTGTTTTTTTTTTTAATTATTAAAGTGTATTTTTTGCCAAAAAAATTGCATTTGAAAAATATAGTAATTTTTAAAAACTGTCCATTTCAGTTTCGGTTTTCGGCCAAGTGCATCCTGAATTTTTGGTTTTGGCACCAGAATTTTCATTTTGGTGCACCACGAATACACACCCTCTATATCTATAAATGTAAAAGTTGTAGGGGAGGGAGGGAGAAGGAGGAAAAGTGGAACTTCCGTTTTTAGATAAAGTTCCACTTTAAGGACACAAAGTACAGATGAGCATGTGAAAGATCGACAAGAAATACAAATTCTGAAGTACAACCGAGTTACTTCCACAATATAAACACATACATCCAAAAAAATATTATATATGCTCGTAACAGGTATAATCAGCTCATTAGTATAATGGTTAATTAAAAGAAAGTTTTAACATTTGGAAAACTACAATACCAGAACCTATTGAGTTAACAACTGCTTCACTTGGAGAGGAATACTGCTGTTCATTAAACACAAAAGACTCCTTGCGGTCACAGTAAATTAAATGAAAGTTCTTTATACTACATTTCATCTTCTAAGGAATCGCTGTATAGTTCCCATGAAATGCGTAGAGAAAATGATGAATACATTATACAGACTGAAGCAGCTACTAATGCTAAACATAAATTGATGCATAGTAAGATTTTCAAAAATCTCTGACATATTCACAACATTGTGGTGGCATAGTCACTGTTTTGTATATTAAATTTTAACACAGTTTTCTCACATTTTTTCTTTTAAGATATATTAAAAAAATAACTATGTTTCATGTGGTTGTGCAAAGCACACAACGTTTTGGTTGTTTGATACCACTAAAGTCTCAATTGAGGTTATGGGTTTCTACTATGCAACCAGAGAGATGTGAGAACTTGGGAATCCAAGTTACCTTTCTTATATTTTTGTTCATGAATAGTAAAAAGTCTCTTTGTTGGTAACCATCGTCTTGCTATTGGTTAAATGACAATAAGGAATTTAAAATAACCGACACATTTAAATCAGTAGTGCTTAGCGGTGTTATAAATCAGTAAGTTTAGCAAAATCAACATGAGTAGTGGGCAGTGATTTATTATGGTTTTCTAGATTCAGCCTGTACAAGTCAAGGGCAGGCTGAAGTTGGGCTGTCCACAGCTATAAGTATGTATCCACACATCCAGTTTGCGTCCAGGGGTGGATATCTGTCCTTAACCATAGGTATCTGCTGGATGTGCAAATATATGCCTACATCCATAGACATCCCTGGCTCCTTTCAGCCCATCATTAAATTTGTGCAGCCTGGGTGGCTTCTTGGTCCAGGAACCTAGAATGCCAACTGCAGGGATCCGCAGTATACTTGCTGCACCATGACAGATTTAGGACATGTAAGTCCTAAAAGGAAAACATTTCACAAAGACACAAACTCACCGGGAAGCCCATGTCAGTGAGCTGTTTAGTCAGTCGAGTCATGATCCAGGCCTCATCAGACTTGTTTGGAGTCTTCATGCCCTGTTATGGGAAAACACAATAATGTCCAAAATGTATTTGAAAGGGCAATGTATCAATAGGAAAAATAGTAAACATAGCACGTCTACTGAAATAAAATAGACTTCTACCTTTTAAAATTGAACAAAATCATTAATTCATAACAAACCCTAAGTAAATCCACATTTGTATGTGTCAATTATAAGTCTTGTGAGGAACAGCTATAAAATGAATTTCATAGTTCCCTGTCAAGGCATGAAATTGACAGCAGCCACAACGACCATCTACAAACATTCAGGAGTCTCTACTTGCAATCTTAACATGCACAGATAACATACTGGCTGAGCTACCTAATATTAATTCAAAGTGGTTCACGGATATGCAGGTATATAGCTACTTATATGATCGCACAAAAAGGATAACAGATCAGCAGTTGGCAAGCAGGAGGTATAGAGTCTGAATTTTTTTTCCAGCTATATGACATGCTTGACAGTTTGCTACAACATCGTACTTTCTTTATAGGTAACCAAACACTGTTCTGTTGCAGACATTGCTGACGACGATGCTGAATATCTATATGCTATTTGTGGACACCGTCCTACTACTATGTATTATGTAATGTGTGTCTTATTCTTATTTGGATGTACCACTTTCTGTATAACAAAAAAAAAAATCTTGTCTCAACAAAAAAAAAAAAAAACCATAAAGATTGCTCTCTAGTTAAAGGATAGGTTCACCTTTAGGAACATGTTCCACTCAATTTTAGGATGGAACACGTAACATGTTCCTGCTCCTGCAGTGGCTTGCCGGTTCAGCCCTGTGTGTGACAGCTGTATGGGGAGAAGTTCCTCGTACCAGCTGTCACTTTTTCAAAAGGGCGCAGCAGTGCAGTCCACAGGGCTACGTCATTTCTGTTCTGTGAATAAATCAACTACAAATACCGACATCCTTTGCGGATGTCAGCCTGTAGTTCTCAATGAACTACCACGGTGCTGTTGTAGTTCATTGATTCTCCCTGTCAGTGTGAAACTGCCTGCCAGGGCATACAGCGAATACTGACAGTCTGCAGGAGTCCTGCATGGCACCAGAGATCTGATGATGACTGATGCAATGCTTTGCAAGGTCCTTAAAAAAATAAATACATTAAAAAAATATAAAATAAAATAAATAGTAAATGCACATTTTTTAACCTGCAAAAAAATATGCAATTTTTTTTTAAAAAAGGTGAACTTATACTTTAAATTCTGTCTTCAGAGATTTAAATCTGCATATACCCAAATAGCTAAATACAAAACTGGAATACACGATTATTAATTGTTTGACCTTCAAAAATACTTTTTTTTTTACATTTCTTTTGATTCGTATAATGCTGCTACACTGCATAACTAGTTGAGTGACACCAATTTCCATGCAAGGAATGCAGTGGTATCACGCAGACTGGGCAATGAAGAAGCAGCACAGCACTAGTTAGGTCATCAAATTCCTCTCTCTGACTGGCAGCACTTTTCCAAACCAGTCTGATCAGCTGACACTGCTGGCCCTCCCTCTCCCACACCTCTGCTGTGAAAATACTGTATTAAAAGAAGGTAATATAACCACCAAGCTTAGGTACGTATACCATGTACATAAATATACTGTTCAAGTAATGCATTTTAATGACTATGTAACTGAATAAAATTGTGCATTTTATATCTGTCTGGATTTTTAACATTATTTTATGCAATAGGTTCATTAAACATGGATACCTTGGAAAGTCCTTTCTTGGGGCCATTGCCCCAAGAATTGCAAGAAGAATTACTATCTTGGGAAGCAGCATTATTCCACATATCACTTTCTTCATCCTCCCACTGGCTGAGGCCAACTTTCTTCTCCTCCACTACTCCAGCCTTCTTGCATAGATTTTTGAGCTAAAAAAAAAAAAAAAAAGAAAAATTTGAGAGGTGGAAAAATATCAGGCCCTCCGATCATCACAAAGGAGAAAACAAATTTAATGTAATTACGGTGTTCAAAGATTTTTCACTGACATATGTGATAAGTTTTTTTCTGGTACCTAAAACACTAAAGATTGTCACTCACCCGTCAGCTGACCATCTTGGCAGCTAAGCCTGAGCACTGCATCATGGGAGGAGGTTGAGGAGCGATTCATGGGAAGTAAAGGGGAGTATGATTAGGGTGAGTTTAAAGAGACACTGTCACTTGGCTCTGAATGAGGAAAGTAACAGTGTCTCTAAGAGAAAAAGGAAATCAAAGTGGAACTTCAATTAAACCTTTTGCTGGTTTCAAATGGGGTAGGGTTAGTACCTTCATCAGGTTTTATTTGCAGTTTGTGTCCTTGATTCACCCTCACTTTTTGTTGTTCTGACTCTTGTCAAGGTGACAAAAAAAATGTTTTACAGCTTTCAAAAGAAGAATATTGGGAAAGTCTCTCAGTGGAGACATCTTTCCTGGTATCAAATTTGAGAGCTCCCCTTTGTTTTTCTATCAACTTTTATTTAAGTAGCAAAGTGGAAAATTGTTGGCTGAACAGTGTCTACATCCAATCTGATGCAGGCAATGTTTGAGCATTCTGACAGCTGGCTGTCTGTCATAGAACATTAACTCGCTTTCATCCATCTGCACTGTTAACATGGATGGAATTTTCTGTTAGATTTAATTTGTTCAGTCCATGACCTGAATGAAATCTATGTAAGTGGCCAACTTTACAAAAAACAAAATAACCTCCCCAAATGTAATCAAGTAACAGCATAAGATAAAGTTCTTATTTACACACCTGGTTTGCACAGCGCAGGGGCAGCAGCTGGAGCGTTTGTCCTGCCATAATTTCCAGATGATTCTGAAGCACCATCCGCGCCCATCCTGAACCACTATTGGAGGGCTTTTCCCCATGCAGAGAAGTGCCTTGTCAACTGAAGCAGACGGAGATGGGGGCTCCCCCCAAGGGTTTTCGGCCTTTGAGTGGACAGGAGGCATATCTCCCCAGCCTGCATAAAAGTACATAAAATATATTCACACAACAGAACAATAATGTTCATCTTACATATAGTAACAGATTCAGTTCAAGAGAACCTATTTATAAAAAAAAAAATTGGTGGCTTATGTGTTATTCTATTTACTTGAAATATTTGGCTGGGATTTACAGCAATGTAACTGGTCTGTAGTACAGTTGTTGCCCAATGAAGACAAACCAGCAACGTGGGATGGATGAATCTGCAGTCCGGTTGTGAGATACATAACTTGCAACAACAGCAGCTGTGGCACAGAAAATTGGTCTCTAACCAGAGCACGGAGGATACATCAGCAGAATACAGAGGAGCTTTTTCAAGAACAAAAGTTTTAAAAAAGTTAAGCCATCACACGTACAAAAATTGTACATGGCGCCAATGTTCCTACATATCTTGCAATATTTTCACTGCTTAGCCTACTGATTATTGGACAATAAAAGTAAGGAAAGAATACATTGTAGATTGTGGAAAAGCATATGACTTGCTTTTACTATTATGCTTGCTATACCTTTAAAAATGGCTCTAAAGGCAATGTTTTTTTTTCCTAAAATAAAATGTAGGTTTAAACTATCTGCTCTATGCAAGGATATTGCAAGTAGTAGGACATTTTTTTTTTTTTTTTACCATAAAGGTAAAAATAATGGAACATTAAGGTAAAAAATGATTTAATGATTTGATTTTAAAACCACTTTAAGCTGCAAAGTCACAAGAATACCATGAGACTTTGTATATCTGCAAATCTGACACTAGGAGAATTTACATATCTGCAAATCTGTGGTCAGCCAGCATGCAATGCTCTTCTATTGCACAGACAGGTGCCACAGGTACAAAAACTAACAAACAGCAGCTAAAAAAATTTCACTTTTAAGTTTTAAGCAATCAAATAAAAAAAAAGAGAAAAAGAAAAAACAACACATAATTGGTGGGTAAAAAACATTTCAAAATGCCATTGTCAAGATTACATAGAGTACACACAAAAACGTTTACATTCACCTTTGCAGGTAAAAAAAAATAAATGTGCATTTATTATTTTTTGTTTTGGGAGCCTGTAAACAAGGTCTCCTGCAGGTCTGTCAGTATATCTGCTTGCCTGTACTGGATGTACCACCAAGCAGATATATTGACAGGAAGAATCAAACTACCACGGCGCTCCACAGCACAGTGGTAGTTCATTGGGAACTACAAGCCGACAGCCGCTAAGGCTGTCCGTACTTGTAGTTTCTATTTCACAGAACACCATGAATGAGTGACGCGGCCAGGCAGGCAGAGCCCCATACAACCATTTTTTTTTTTTTAAATTGATAGTGAGGGGGGGAGAAGATCCTCCAATAGCTGTCAAAGCTGGGGAGCGGGGGGCCGGTCTAATCATAACAAGTTACGTATTACACCCTGTATATGGGTGCAACATGTTATGAAAGGTGAACTTATCCTTTAATATACAGCAATATGCTCAGGGATAAAAAGGTTGACCTCTGACAAACAAAATGGAGAGAAATTGGCTGAATTATGGTACATCTACAGTTGTATAAGAAAATATCAGCAAAATAATCAAAAGCCCTAAATGTATACAAGGAATTTAAAAAAACCCTTCTCTTTATTGAGCAAATAATAATTCTAACTGTATGACTGTAAGATGCTCAGGCAAACATGGTTAGCTCGCTAAAACTGGGCCCTTCTCCTGTCAACAAGCGGATCTAATGATAACTGTCTATCAACTGTAAGCATTGTTTTGGAGGGCAAGATTCCTACTTCCTCATGACATTCACTGGCTTAATAGGGAATATGTATGGAGAGAGAGACGAGATGAGAGGGTAGGAGAGAGAAGAGAGGGGGAGAGAGAAGAGAGGGGTAAGGAGAGGAAGGGAAGGAGAGGGGGGGAAAGAGAAGGGGGAGTAGGGGGGGAAAAAGGACGGGGGAGGAGAAAAGAGGGAAAACAGCTGAGGGGGGGAGTGAGGTGAGAGAACGGATGTGGGAGGGAGGGAGGTGAGACGAGAAGAGAGGGAGGGACGAGATTGGAGAAGATGAAGAGTGGGGGAGGGAGGAGATAAAGAAGAAGAGGGGAGTGGAAGGAGGGAGAGGGAGATGGAGAGGAGAGGGAGGAGAGAGGAAGGGGAGGAAAGGGGGAGAGGTGTGGGAGGAGAGAGAGAGATGGGAGAGGAAAGGGAGAGTGGAGGGAAGGGAAAGAAAGGAAGAGAGGTGGGGAGGGAGAACGAGTGGAGGGACGAAGGTGAGTGACGAGTGGAGGGTGGTAGACGAGAGAAGAGAGGGAGGGTGGAAGAGGAGAGAGTAGAGAGGGAGGCGGGAGAGAGGGAGAGTGGAGGGTGGGAGGAGAGAGGAGAGGGAAGAAGAGGGAGGGAGGCGGGACGAGAGAAAGAGGTGGGAGTGAGAGGAGAAGAGTGGAGTGGTGAGAGAGAAGATGGGAGGGGAGGAGAGTGAGAAAGAGGAGGGAGGAGATGAGAAGAGTGGGAGGAGAGAGAAGAGTGGGAGAGGAAAGAAGGAGAAAGGAGAAAAGGGGGGGAAGGGGGAGAGAGAGGGAGAGAAGGGAGAGAGAGAGAGAGAGTGGAAAGGAGAGGGAGTAGGGAGATGGACTGAAAAAAGGGGTGAGATAAGACTGGGAGGGAGTGAGAGAGAGGGGGAGGTGAGTGGGAGGAGGGTGAGAGGGGAGGTGAGGACAAAAGATGAGAGGGTGAGGATGAGTGTGAGAATGGGGGAGAGGAGGAGCGAGGGAGAGTGAGTGGAGGAGAGATGAGGGATGGGAGGTGAGATCGAGTGGGGAGGAGGTAGACGAAGTGGGAGGAGGGGACGAGGGGGCTCGTAAGGGGAGGAAAGAGAGAGTGACTCGAGTGACGGAGTGAAAAAGGAAGTGGAAAGGATGGAGGAGGTGAGAGTGAGTGGGGGGTGGATGGAGAGTGAGGGGGTGAGGGGTGGTGTGGGGGGTGATGTGTGAAAGAGACGGAGGGTGAAAGTGGTCAGGTGACGAGGGTGTGGGAAGGAGGAACGAGGAGGGGAAGGAGGAGAGTGGAGGATGGGAGGTGAAGAGGGAAAGGAGGAGAGAGGAAGGAATGAAAAAAGGAGGTGGGAGTGAATCGAAGTGGAGGTGAGGAGGGAGGACGAGAGTGAGAGGGAGGAGGGAGAAAGGTCGAGAGAGAGTGAGGAGGGAAGAGAGGAGCAGGTTGTGGAGGGAGAGAAGAAGGAGAGGAACGAGTGGAGAAGGGAGAGGGAGGAGGGGTAACGAAGTGGAGTCAAAATGGGAAAGAGGGAGGGGGGAGAGAGGAGAAAAAAAAAAAGGGAGTGAGAGAAGAGGGAGTGAGTGGAGAGGACGGGGGGAGAGTGAAGAGAGAGGAGGGAGAGTGGAGGAAGGAGAGAGGAGAGGAGGTAGCTGAGAGAGAGTAGGAGACGTGGGAGGGAGGGAAGAGAGAGAGGAGAAAGGGGAGGAGGGAGAGACGAGAGGAGACGGAAGAGAGGGGAGAGAGCAAGGAAAGAAGGTGGAGAAGGAGAGGAGAGTGGGGAGAAGGCAGGAGTTGGAGAGAGTGAGGACGAGTGATGGGAGAAAAGAGGAAAAAAGAATGGGATGCAGGATGGAGTGAGAGTGAGTGAGGTGTGGGGGAGGGGAGGAGGATTGAGACGAAGAGGAGTGGTAAAGGAGGCGGAGAGGAGTGGGCGAGGGGGAGGGGTGAGAGAGGAGGGAGTGAGAGGGAAAGAAGGGGGTGGAGGGAGAGGAGAGGGGTGAGAGAGAGGAAGGGAGAGAGAGGAGGATAAAGAGAAGGGAGGTTAGGGAGTCGAGTTGGGGAAGACAGTGAGGACAGAAAGGAGATGGGGGGAGGAGAGAGGAAAGGACGAAAGGGGGGAGTAGATGAGAGAGGTAGAGGGGGTGAGTGAGGATGAGAGAGATGAGAGGGTACAACGAGTGGAAAGAGGAGAGGGGGGAGGATCGAGAAATGATGGAGAAAAGGGAGGAGAGGGGAAGGAAAGGTAGGAGAGAGAGAGCGGAGAGGTGGGAGAGAGGAAAAAGGAAGGAGAAGAAGGAGAGTACGAGTGGAAGGAAGAAGGGAGGAGATAAGGGGGGAGGAGAGAGAGTTTGGGAGGTGGATGGGATGGGGGAGAGGAGGAAGAAAAGAAGGGGGGAGAAGAGGGAGAGGGGAGGTGAGGGAGGAAAGGATCAGAACGAGGGGGCAGCGGAAGAGAGAACAGGGTCACGGAGTGAAGGGAAAAAAGAGAAAGAGGAGGGGGAGAGGGGTAAGAAAACGGGAGTGGGAGAGGGAAAGGGGAGGAGAGGACAGGAGGAATGGGAAGACGGAGAGAGGAGTGAGGGAGGGGGAGGAAAGAGGAGGAGAGATGGTGAGAGGGAAGAAGGAAGTGAGGAAAGACGAAAGATAAAAAGAAAGGGAGGAGAGAGAGGAGAGGGCAGGAGGGAGAGAGAGAGGATAGTGGGGGAAGGTAGGAAGAGAGAGTGAAAGAGGGGAGGAGGGAGAGAGGAGAGGATGTGGGAGGATTGGAGAGAAAGAGGACAGCTTTTCCGTTAGGAGGCGCGAAATAGAGAGGGAGAAGGAAGGAAGGGAAGAGAAGTAGGACGGAAGGAAGAAAGAAGAAGGAGGGAGACGAGGGAGGAGGGAAAGGAGAGATTGAAGAGATGGATAACCCGTAGAGATACGCTTCCGGGACCCCCCAGAGAAGAGAGGTGCCCCCGAGATGAACGAGAGAGAGAAGATGGAGGAGGAAGCCGAGAGAGAAGAAGAAGGATGGGAGAGCCCCCCCCCCGAGTGAGAGGGAAGAGCCCCGCACCCTGACAGAGAGAAGGGATAGTGAGCAGTAAGAGGGGACGGCGGATAAGGGGGGGGAGATATGGAAGTAAGAAGGAGGAGAAGATAGATGAGAGAGGTGAGAAGAGAGAAGACGAATCGCCCCCCCCCCGAGGAAGAGAGAGAAGAGAGCGCCCCCCCCCCCCCCCTCCCCGAGAGAGAGGAGAGGACGAGGAGAGA